GATATCAGTATGAATAAAATTTGTGAAAATCACGACATGATGTTCGTATGAATATCACGAATGTCCGGGAGGTTAGCCGCCATTTCAAGCATACGGACGGGACAAATCACAAAACTGTTTTTATTGTCAAAAATATTTTTGTTTTATTAGTCTATACATTAAATAAAAAAACGCAAAGAATATTTTATAAAAGTAAAAAGATAATTTAAATAATTGAAAGGTGTGGACGGGACAATTGTATCTTAAGATAAATCTTTTTTTTGCATCTTAAGATAAATCCTTTTTTGTCCCGTCCACAACTCTTAATTATTAAAATTATCTTTACTTTTATAAAATATTTCTAAAAGAAAAATATTTTTGATAATTTTGATGCCAAAATATTATGAAATAAATTATCTACAATTTGTTTCATAAAAACAGTTTTGAAATTCGTGCGTTTCGCGCGCTTGAAATGGCCGTTAGATGAAAGCAGGAAATTCAATTCATTAATTTGAATGCATTTAACCATCTAATAAGATTTGGCAACCATGTATGAGGCTGTATTGTATATACATGAGTTTATAATGTCGCTATTTAAAAAATATATACACAAATTGAAGCCACAATGTTAGTTATTTAGTAAGAGGTTTTTATGTATGAAAGATGGTTAAAAATGAATACCATAAAATTAAAGATACGGATTTCTAAGTGCGCGGGATCTGTTTAAAATACTTTGAAATTTAATATACATGACACAGACATTCGCTGGTTACGCTCCATCTGGGTGAGGCCGATAAACTTGTCTATTGTATGAGGCCGTAATAATTGAAGATGTAAATATATATATATATATATATATATATATATTTATATATATAAAAAAGTTTAAAGTCTCTTATCATAATTAAAGTGATTTTTCATAAAAAATAATATATATATGGCTTATGATATTTTTTTGTATTTTATTTGCAAATATTTGAAATTTTTTATTAGTGTTATTTTTTATCGCTGATATCTATGAAACGGTTGATGATCAACCGTTGATCTGAAGAACTTTGACCTTCAGATGTTTTTTTGTAGATCTTGAAATTGTCTATAACTCTATATTTCTAGTAGACGCAATAAGGTCGCGAAATGTAATGACGCAATATTGTATTACGGATATATATATATATATATACATATATATATACAAAATTCTATCATTGCTGCGTCCATAAATTTATAAAATCCCTATTCTTCTTGCGTCGACGACCTTACTGCGTCAGTATATCTGACGGAGTAATGTCAAGCGCTTATTTCTTAAAATTTACTTCATCCCAGCACTTTCTAAGATCCTTATTAATACAGATCTATGTAGAATTTACTGCCCAATTTTTGTGTACAAAATTTTTTAATGTCCTGCTTTCTTTAAATATTTGGAAAAATTTGGAAACAAAAAGTGTGCAGCAACATACTAAAAATGGAAAAAATGTGTATATTTAGTTCAACCAATTTGACGATGAGGGCGTTACGATAGTATATGTTTTCCAATATACGTGTTTTTAAATACTGTATGTTGTTGCGTCGCACAATTTGGCAACGTCTCGCCTTTGATTTTAATATTTGAATTAAAGTCAGATACAAACAAACAGGGTTTGTTGTTGCGAATGGTAGCGCTGTCTCTCTCGCTTCATGTGGCGTTATGCTAGAGACAGTTCACTCGTTTAAATGTAATTATATTATAAAATTGGGGCGCGCGTTCGAGTTTTATGAAAATTACAATTATGACGGCCGATTTATTAAAACTGATTGTAATAGAAAATTGTTTTGTCCATAAGTAATTGTTTATTTTTTAAATTATATATGCAGTTTTAAAGGCAGAAAAACGATGATCATTTTTATACGCTTATAATCGTAAATACGTTAGCAGAAATGTTTCCCACTTGTAGTAAGGTGATATGTTGCGGGGATTTTAACATAGATTTTTCAAATTTAACTTCCAATAAAACCTCCTTATTTATAGACAGTTTACAATCTTTCAATTTACGGCAAATAATTACAGATCCGACACGTATTACTCGCATTACTTCAACAATAATTGATTTAATTTTAATTTCTAATGATTTGGCTTATAAATCATGTGGTGCCTTACCATCTGACATTAGTGATCATTGTATAGTTTTTTGCTCTATTTTTTTAAACTTTAGTAACCCTAAGCCCGAATTTATACAAGTACGAAATCTAAGATACATTGACATGGAGTTATTAGATGATTTTTTATCATTAACACCATTTCATTTAATTTTTACCATTGAAAGTATAGACGAAAAGCTTCTACTATTCAATAATCTAATTTTAGAACTATTTAATACACTTGCACCACTAAAAACTAAAAAATTTAGGAAATTAAACCCACCATGGCTAACACAAAATATTAAACTACTCATTAGGTTAAGAAATAAAGCATTTTCTAGATACAAGCGAACAAACAATATTAATCATTGGGTATACTACAAGGAGCTCCGTAATCAAACTAATATTTCAATAAAAAATGAAAAAAAACAATACCTAAACCAGTGCAAATTGTGCACTGCACAAATAATAACAATAAACGCGATTTTTGGAGTGGCCTAAACAAATTAAATATTCATAGTAAAAATAAACAAACTGTAATACCATTTTTTTTTAAACAAATCTTCTGATATTAACAATTATTTTTTACAATTTGTTAATAATAACAACTTCATCAGTGAAGATTTACACGATTTTTACTCTAATAATCTAAAATGCACCTTTTACGAAACCTTTAAATTCAGCACGATAACCGAAAATGAGGATTATAAACATTTACTTAGTATAAAATCGAAATCCGCAGGTTTTGACGAAATAAACACCTATATGTTATTACTTTGTTGTCCCTTCATATTAAAATATATTACTCATATAATAAATACTTGCATATGTAAATGCTATTTTCCAACTTTATGGAAAATTGCTCGTGTTATTCCGCTTCCTAAAAAGAAAGAACCTCAAAATTATTATATTACCTATAGAGTATACTCTCCAAAGTTTTTGAAAAAATTTTATATATTCAAATGCTGTCTCATATTAATACTTACAGTATTTTGCCTGTCTTTCAATCGGGATTTCGTAGTAAGCACGGTTGCAACACTGCTTTGCTCAAAATTGTGGATGACATAATTACAGCTACAGATCAGGGTAAGGCAACAATACTTATTTTATTGGACTACATAAAAGCGTTCGATACCTTAAGGCATCAATTATTGTTACCAATCTTTTATTATTGTGGTTTTAGCCATGAAGCAATTTTTCTCATATCAAACTATTTAAAAAATCTCCAACAATATGTTGAAACCTCAGCAGGCAAATCAAGCTGTGAGGGTATAACTTGCTGAGTGCCCCAGGGCTCCATACTTGGGCCACTTTTGTTTTGCATTTATACGAATAACATATGTTCCTCATTAAATCACTGCACACCTCATCTTTACGCTGACGATACGCAAATATATTACTCTTTTGACCCATCTGAAAGACAACTTGCAGAAACAATTATAAACAACGACCTCAAAAATTTATTGATTCAATCAAAAAAACATAACCTACTTATTAATCACACCAAATCATCTATGCTTGTCTTCGGTAAACTTAAATCTGTCATATCATCTGAAATTAGTATAGTTCTGGATGATAAACAGTTATTACCTTGTAACGAAGCTAAAAATCTGGTTGTATTGGATGTTGATCTACGTTTTAAAAAACATATTAATAAATGCATTCAAAAATCATATCTAAATTTAAAATTGCTTTATCCTTACAGACACATATTATCTCAAAATAATAAAATTGAACTTTCTGACTTGCTGATTCTATCCCATTTTAACTTTTGCGACACTGTCTATGGATCTTGTTTAGATAGGTTGTACATTAATAAGGTGAAAAGGGTACAAAAATCTTGCCTTCGATTTATATATGGCATCAGGCGCAGTTTTCCAGTGTCTCATAAGTTAAAGGACGCAAATTGGCTTAACATGTCAAAACGAAGGCTTCTTCATAGTCTCTGTCTTTTTCACAACATAGTAAAAAACAAAACACCACAATATTTAAGTAACAAAATTAGATTTAGACATGACGTACACAATTTAGGCCTTCGTTTTAAAGGACTCATATCTCCTCCTCCTCATAAAACAACTTTTTTTAAAAGATCATTTAGCTACAATATATATATTGAATATAATAAGTTACCCAAGGAATTAAAGCTTCTAAATGAAGTACAATTTAAAAGGAGGTGCAAATCAATGTTATTGCTTAGCCATTTGTGATTGATGCGTTTTGTTGTGTTTGTTATTTTTTTTATTATATTAGTGTATCTAGGAAATATACGGTCATGTAAAGTGGTGTAGGATAGGTTAGGTTAGTGGTCTAGGTTAAGTTAGGTTGGGTTAGGTTAGGTTAGTGCGGGGTTTGTGTGTCCCCCATCGGGCGCTTCTCCGGGTGGCGGATAGGAGAATGCCTCCCAGATATGGGTGGTACCGGCGAAATCAAATAGTCGGAGCGGACCAAAACACACACAAAAGTCCGGAAGCGTCTGACACGTAGCGTGCGGCTCCCCGGCCAGCGTCTGTTCCCCAGAGGGGCGGCTGAGCAAACACCTGGCCGTAGGTATAAAAGGCAATAGAAGGACACCATTCAAAAAACCAATCATGTCGGTGAATAAAGAAACTTTTCCCCGGGTGGGTCCGGTCGAAGACCGGGAATCCCACACCACTAAGGTGGTCTGCCCCTCGGAATACGGGGGGGGCAAAACCCCGACATTGATGCCCGGAAGCTCGACAACAGGTACTGGGATACCACTGAGGACTGATGGAACACTGACGAGAATGATCAACAAAATGGCAGAAGCCGCGAAGGATGGAACTAGACGAGGAAGCCTGACAACTCCATGTAACCTAAATGTCTCTACAGAGATAGTAAGGAGCAACTCGCTAAACACAGACAAGAATCGAAAGAACCTCTTTTAGCAGCGGTGAGGCGTATAAGATCAAAGAGAGTTCTGAGGTCTTTGTTATCAGAGAAGCTATAGGGGAAATAACCAGGATAGGGAAAACACTGGAGCAGCACATGGAGCAGAATACAAAGCAGGAAGTCAGGGAAGCATGTGGTAGACTGAGCAGACAAGTGGAGATAATCAACAGAAGGATCGTACAGAACTGGTTAGAAGAACACAGGTACGAAAGAGTCGAAAAAATGTTGATAGACGCGGACACACAAACAGAAAACAAAGTCGAACCAGAGAATAGGAAGATCAGGATCGAAAAAATGGGAGGCATTCACAGAGGTGACAGATCAGATGTGGGAGGAATATCAATACTCCAACACGGAAATTAAAATCGGAAACCCGCTAGAAACAGAAGACACAATAACGAAGGTGGTAATGATAGAACCAACAGATCCAAAACTGGAGAGGGGAATCCAAAAAATACACGCGGAACGCTACCCCGAGCTGATAAGCGACAGTAAGTTTGACATTGTAGAACGACGAATCTACACACGTACTGGAAACACCGAGAAAGAAACCAGGAAAAGAATTATCAAGGCTTCGATTACTGGCACGGAAAATGACCTTTGAGACAATATTCTTAAAATTAAACAGGAAATAACAAATGAAAAAAGGGTGGCTACGCACACGCTAAAATGAATAGAAACAGAGAGGCTAAGGTGAGAAATCGAATAGTAGCCGGAAGCAAAGAACCACATACGCCCTTGTTCTGGAAAACGCTGGAAAGTCCTATGAGGACACCCTGAACAAAGTAAAAGAGGCACTGCGGAACAACCCTGCGAGTGACGCGATCAGGAGAATCCGCAGTACGAGGAACGGCAAAATGGTCATTATATCGGATAAAAACAAAAAGGCTGCGGAAGAACTGCAGAAGACCATCAAACAAAACACCGAAATAAAGGTCAGGGAAACCGGGTCAAAACTAAAAAGTACCATCTTTATCAGAGGTATAGACGGGACAACATCAAAAGTTGAGGCAGAGAACTCAATTAAAAAAGAGCTTGCGCCAATGGAGGGAGCAGATTGGAGGCTGTGTGAAAGACCTACCTACGGCAACACTCAAACGGCCACGCTATCCTCTGACAGTAAAGTCATTAAATTTCTGACCGACAAAGGGACCATCAAAATAGGGATGGTCAGATGCGAAATCGAAAGGAGAGTAGAGCTGACTTGCTGCTACAAGTGCCGGGCGTAGCAACCAACTGTAAGGGTCCAGACAGGTCAAACCTCTGCCACAAATGCGGAAAGGACGGACACAAGTTCAAAGAATGTCCGAACAAGGAGGTGTGTCTGCTATGCAATGTGGATGGACACAAAGCTGGAACAAGCAAATGTCCAGTATTCAAAGAAGCTCTACTCAAAGCGAAAGGAGCAGAAAGGAAAGGCCTAGTTAATAAATAACTAAAGAACTCAAGATACTACAGCTTAACTTCGGCAGAAGAAAAGCCGCCCATGATCTTTCAGAACAACTTCTACACGAAGAAAACGTTGACATTGTGATAGGACAAGAACCGAACAAAAAATCTGTGATGAACTGCTTTAAAGACAATAACTGTGATAGCTTTATTGGCATTAGGAATAAGGACTTATGTGTTTATTGTGTTCGTAAAAGCACTGGTTTTGTATACGTCGAACTTGAGTGTCTCGATATAATTTAATAATAATAATAATAATAAAATGTCTTTATTTGAGTAAAAATTATTTTTTACATTTTTCTTCAACTAGGCGAAGTCTAGCCTCAGGCTACTCCACTTAACCTAGTATGACAATTTTGGGTTACATCGAGAAAAAAAATATAACAAAACATTCTTTAACTAAATAATTTTAAATTATTAATACTTTAATGCATACAAAAAATTTTGTTTTAGCCTACGCTTAAACGCAGCTAATGAAAGAGATTTTAATTCTTTGTTTACATTATTATAAAGTACAACAGCATTATAGCTAAAAGAACGCGTAAACATGGATAAACGAAACTGTGGTAAAGATAAATTATTATTTTGTCTTACTGAAACTGAATGAAGATCTCTACGGATAATAAGTTTTTCTCGCAAGTAGGTGGGGGTACTCATCAAATTAATTTGGTGTACATACACTGATAAGTTTAACCTATACAATTTTCTAATTTTAACCAACCCAATTCTTCTATTTTTAGAGTAACATGTTCAAATTTTTTAATCCAAAAATAAATCTGCAACACTGATTTTGAATTTTTTGTATACGATACAGAGTACATTTATCTAAACATGGAACATATAAAATATTACAATAATTAAGCATGGGCAAGAGCACTTGCCCCCCCTTCATGTAATGCTAGAGGGCATCTACTGGAAGACTGGATCTCTTCTAACAACCTGCTGGTCGCAAACAAGGGCAACAGAAATACTTTTATCGGTGGGAACGGAAGCTCTCTAATTGACTTCACGATCTGCAGCGATGGTTTGGCCTCTTGCATCAGAGGTTGGGAGGTAGAGTCACGAGAAAATTTCAGTGATCACATGAACATCAGATTCAGTGTACTGCTTCAAAAATACCCTTTAGATACACCGAAAAGAGTTCCAAGCTGGGTAGTGACCGAAAGCAAATTAAAAAAAAGTTGCTGCAAGCTTTGGGACGTATCCTACGAAAATCTCTAACCCAGAAGAACTTATAGGAGCCCTTACGATATGCTGCAACAAACACCTACCAAAAAAATCACATGGCCAACGTAAAGAGGTCTACTGGTGGACCCAAAAAATTTCAGAATTAAGAAGAGACAGCAACCACAAGAGAAGAATAATAACAAGACTGAACTCCAGAAATGGGCACCAAGAGGAAAAACGTGTAGCCTTGGCTTCATACAAAGAGTCTAAGAAGAGGCTAAACTCTGAAATAAAAAATACAAAGAAAACGAAATGGAAAAAGCTGTGCGTCGACCTCGAACGAGACGTATGGGGAACCGCTTACAGAATTGCACTGAAGCGGCTAGGTAAAACCCCTCCGCAAGCCGATTTGGAAACAGCCGAGAAGCAGATAAAGAAATTATTCCCAGATAGACCTCCCACTGTCTGGCACAGAAATAAACCAACACTACAGGAAGGAACTCTGTTTACAGAGGAGGAGATAATGGAAGCGGCCCAGAAAATTAAGTCAAAGTAATCCCCGGGGCCCGACGGTATCCCGCCAGAAGTGGTAAAGGCGTGCATGCTCGCACGTCCAAGGGTGTCTCAAATCAGGAACATTCCCAGCAGTTTGGAAGACTCCCAGAGTGGTACTGATTGAAAAACCGAAAAAGGAGCCGAATGCACCCCAGACTTACAGGCCCATATGCCTTTTGGACTGCTGTGGAAAACTGTTAGAAATCCTGATCCGAGATAGAATCCAAAAAGAAGCGGAAGAGAATGGCGCTCTACATGATAGACAATACGCCTACAGAGCAGGTAGAAGCACCGTTAGCGCGATTCATAAAGTTCTTGACATACCCGAACAAATAAGAAATAAGGCACATAAGAATAGAGAACGTTGTGTTATGGTCACTCTGGACATTAAAAATGCGTTTAACTCAGCCCCATGGCAAGGCATAATCCAGCAGATGGAAAAATACCAGTTCAGTGAATACCTCGTCGAAATAACCAAGGATTATCTAACAAAAAGGAAACTAATGTCCCAAGGGACTAACAAGAATATGACATGCGGTGTTCCACAGGGATCCGTCCTTGGGCCCACCCTATGGAACATCTTCTACAACCAGATATTGGAACTAAAACAAGAGAAGGGAGTGGAAGTTGTGGTATACGCAGACGACATAGCCATTATTGTCTGTCATAAAATCATAAGTGAGCTCGAAGAAAAGGCTAAATATGCGGTGGACATCATCATGCACAAACTGGTAGAAATGGAAATCGAGGTGGCTAGTCATAAAACTGAAATTGTTATCCTGGTGGGAGGAAGAAAGATGAGGAAGCTCAGGCTAAGAGTCGGCCAAACAGAAGTGCTCAGCCAGACTTCACTAAAGTACCTAGGTGTACATCTTGACACTGACTGTAGGATGACCACGCACGTCCAAAGAACATGTAAAAAGGTACATGAAGTGATAAACCACCTACAATGGATAATGCCTAGCGTTGGCGGACCGGGAAGCAGTAAAAGGAAAGTGCTGGCCTCCACCGCCAGGTCAATTCTTCTATATGGAGCCTCGACATGGGTAAAAGCGCTGAACTACAAACACTACGTGAGCATGCTAGAAAGAATTAACAGAAGACTCTGCATAATTATCTGCAGAGCATACAGAACAAGCTCAAGTGCAGCCGTACAGTTGCTGGCGGGACTCCCTCCAATCGACCTGGCGGTAAGAGAAAGAGCGGAGGTGATGAAGGGTGGCAGTGCGACAGACGCAAGACAAAGACTGTTGCAGGAATGGCAGGGGAGATGGAACGACTATGGCGGCTGGGCAAAAACATTTATACAGGATGTGACAGAGTGGACCAACAGAAAATGGGGTAGTGTTGATCACTACCTCAGTCAAGCCATAACGGGACATGGAGTCTTTAATACCTATCTCGTTAACATAAGAAAGACGCATGACCCAAGCTGCTGGTTTTGCGAGAATGCCCAAGATACTCCAGAACACACAATATTCTACTGCCCAGAATTTGAGCGAGGACGGAAGCGGCAAGAAAGGTAGGAGAAGCAGTAACGATCGAGAACGTAGCGAACATTATACTTAGAAGCGAGGAGTCGTGGAATGCAGTCACAGAATGGCTTGGGCAAACAATGCAGTACAAAGCAGAATTCGAAAGGAGGAGAGAAGCAGATGGAGCTAGGAGGGGAGCTCTACCCGAGATAAATTGAGGTTCCTCCATGCCACAGATGAAGTAATGCCTTGAATAGGCTGTTCCGTCTGAGGTACATCAGGGAGAAGAAGAGAAGAGGTGGTTTAACAACATTTAACAACAACGAGTCCCACACTATCGAAGGCAACAACACTCAAGCCCTTCGATGTGCGTAAAAGCATTTTCCCCTTTATAAAAAAAAAGGGTTAGGTTAGGTTGGGTTAGGATGAATTAGGTTTAGTTTTAAATGGTTGAAGCTTTGATCAGCAATCCATAAAATGGGTATGTTGCTCTTCAATCATTATTTGCAAATGTTTGAATCTATCTCTTTAGCTAATTTTATTTTTAATATTTTTTTTTTACTGTACCCCGTGTGGGGTTTTGTGTGTTTCCTTCATCGTGGTGCGTCCCCCGGGTGGCGGATGGGGGAACGCCTCCCAGATATGGGTGGTAGGAGTGAAATGAAATAGCTCTCGTGGACCAAAAAACACTCACCTGGCCGAAGGTATAAAAGGCGATGGAGGGACACCATTTAAAAAAACCAGGCATGAAGTCCATAAAAGGGTCAATGCTTACGGGACAGGGGTTCGGAACCCCAGAACCGGTCGGGAATGGTGGTGGCAGTGCAGGCCCCACCCGATCGTCAACCAGCGACTGTACGGCCCCGGGGGCAAACCAGCCCGGGAGCTCGGCAATAGCTACTGGGATACCACTGAGGAGTGATGGAAATAAGCAGGTGCATTCGCTGATACCGCATGTGCAACCAAGACTAAATGACAGCGGAAGAAGATCATCTATGGAGACCTTGGACTTTATGTGGGATGAGGAGGCAAACAAATCGATCCCCATAACTGAGATGGAAAAGGAGAAAAAAGGGTCAGCCTTTTTCACGTTGGGATCATTTACAAAACAAAGAAGTTTCTCAGTAACTGAATTAGACGAGAAAAAAAGAAAGAGAGTCTCCCTGGAGCCAGAAAAAATCGTTAAGAGAAATAAATGCCCTACAGCCACGGAACTGGTGGAAACACTAAAGGCTATAGTGGAGTGCACTAAGAACTTAGACAAAGTGGTCGGGGAGAACAGGAACACCAAAACTGAGATCAAGGACATTGTGTCAAAACTGAAGAGAAGAACGGATAACCTAAGCAGAAACACAATAAAGGAGTGGCTCGAACAGCATATGCACGAACCAGTACCTATACCGACATACGAAGGCGATACGCAGACGGAAGAGGACCAGTCGCAAAGTGTACAAAGGGCTACCAAACCGACAAGGGAGTTCGGAACCCAGACGGATCACGAGGGGACGATGGAGGAACCAGATGTGGGGAGGATTAACCTGGATGAACTAAACACCTTCGAAGACTTCGCAAGAGCGAGGGAATCCGGGTGGAAGAAGTACAATTTCGAGAAATCAAAAATTATAGTGGGAAATCCACTGGGTACAGACGATTGCACCACGAAGGTGGTGTTCTTGGAGCCATCGGACCCGAACATGGAGAGGGGGATTCAGATGGTTTTCAAGGAGCGTTTTCCGGAGTTGGCTGGTGACAAAAAATACGAGGTAATCGAACAACGGATATACACACGGACCGGGAGTACGGAGAAAGAAACTAAGAAAAAGATTATCAAAGCATCTAATAACAGATCGGAGGAGGATCTGTGGGACAATTGGGCAAAGATTAGGGACGAAACAACCAGTGATAGTGCAGTGGCGGTACACACTTTAGAGGGCATAAGCACGGAGAAGCTTAGAAGAATCATTGAATGTATCTTCTACGGGAGAGACAAACAGGTGTGGATATATAGCCAGGAGGCCAAGAACAAGGGGATAGCAGGTGAAAGACCCACATACGCCCTAGTGCTGGAGAGTGCGGGGAGGTCATACGCGGATACCCTAAATGAGGTAAAGGCGGCGGTAGGGGATAACCCAGCCAGAAACAGGATAAGAAACATCCGCAGCACTAGGGAGGGAAAGATGGTTATCACCCTAGATAGGGATAAAGAGGCGATGGGTGAGATCCAAAAGGCAATCAATGACACAATAAAGGTAAGGGTCAGTACGCCCGGACAGAGGCAAAACGAGACAGTATATATAAGAGGTATAGATGGCACAACTGACAAGACCGAGGTAGAGAGGGCATTAAAGGCGCGGCTGGCTTCGATAGGGGAGACACAGTGGAACCTAAGCGAGCTGAGGCCAAGCTTTGGCAATAACCAAACGGCAACGCTATCCGCCGGCAAGGAGGCAATTAAATTACTGGTGGACACAGGGCACATAAGGATAGGGATGGTAAGGTGCGAAATTGTAAAACGAGTGGCGGTGACTCGCTGCTACAGGTGCTGGGCATATGACCATAGGGCAGCTGACTGTAAGGGCCCAGACAGGTGGAACCTGTGCCATAAATGTGACAAAGAGGGCCACAAACACAAGGAATGCCCAAACAAGGATGCATGCATTCTGTGTAATAAGGAGCATAAAGCGGGTACAAGCAAATGTCCCGCTTTCAACAAGGCCATAATAAGAGCCAGAGAGGCAGAAAAGGAAAGGCCCCGTACATCATAGCGGAGCTAAAGTTTCTTCAATTAAACTTCGGGAGAAGAAAAGCTGCGCACGACGTCATCGAACAGCTGATATATGAGGAAGGTATTGGACTTATTCTGGGGCAGGAACCCAACAGAGATAAAGTAGCAAACGAACTCTGCGGCAAGAAGAGGGATAGCTTCATCAGTGTTAGGGATAATATAGAGGTGGTAAGTGAATATTGTGGTGTAGGCTTTGTGGGTGCGGAGCTGAAGAAGGCATGGGTGTACTCGTGCTACTTCTCTCCAAATGGGGAGGTAGCGGAATTAGAAAACCTGCTGAAAAACCTGGGTAGGCACATAAGAGGTACAAAAGGTAAGGGCAAAATCATCGCGGGGGACCTAAATGCCAGGACACCGTTGATAGGGAACAGTGTCACAAATGAGAGGGGGAAAATCCTCGAGGATTGGTTCATGGCCCAAGATTTGGTTTTAGCCAACGTTGGTAATAAGCCAACCTTCGCAGGGAAAGGAGGGTCATCGGTAATAGATTTTACTGCGGCTACACCCGATCTGGCAAACAGTATTATGGAATGGGAGGTGGAGGATGATAAAGAAAACCTGAGCGATCACAGGAACATTAGGTTCAAGGTTATGAGGAAGGACCCTACAAATAACAGACTGACACCTTGGGGCTTTCGAGTAGACAAAAAAAGGCTAGAAACCTTCGCCAATAGCTGTGGTAACTTGTTCACGGGAGAAAAGGAAAGCCCCGAGGAACTGATGAGGGCTATTCAGGAAAGGTGTAATGCAGGTCTTCGGCATGAATAAAGGTAGAGCTGGTAGGAGACAGCCAGTTTACTGGTGGAATGGGGAAATTGGCGAACTTAGAAGCACCTGCATACATCTGCGCAGGAAAGTCACTAGGGCGAGGAGAGCGAATCCTGGGGGGCCTGGGTACGTTGCGTTAACGGAGGACTACAAGACGGCGAAAAATAACCTGAAGAAAGAAATCTGGAAAGCCAAAAAGGCAAACTGGATAAGGCTCTGTGAAGAATTAAACGATGACATCTGGGGAAAGGCCTACAAAATCGTTACCAGAAAGCTAAAGCTGAGGAGGGGAAACGTGATCCCCCCAGATGTCATCAGTAAACAAATTAGCATGCTCTTCCCAAGGGGATCTGGCGGGGGGGATACCGGCCCGCCGGTGAATCTGGAGGAGGACTTTCCTGGCTTTACGGAGGAGGAGCTGACGAGAGCTACGATACAATTAAAGAACAGGAAGCCGGCAGGCCCGGATGGGGTTATGCCGGAGATAATCAAGGTGTGTATCGAAGCGGGCCGGAGCGCATTCCTGAAGGTGTTCAACAAGTGTCTAAGGCAGGGGACCTTCCCTGTGATATGGAAAGAAGCCAGGCTGGTCCTAATAGAAAAACCTAAGAAAAACAGTAGCGAGGAGCAGGCGTACAGACCGATATGCCTGATAAACGCTGCAGGGAAGGTATTGGAGATTATGGTCAAGAACAGGGTACAGGATAAACTAGAGGAACACAATATACTGCACGAAGAGCAATACGGCTTCAGGAAAGGGAGGTCAACTATAAATGCCATTAAGAGAATCAAGGGTCTGGCAGAATCAATACGCAGCAAGGCCCTTAAGAACCAGGAGCACTGCTGCATGATTCTGCTGGATATAGAAAACGCCTTCAACTCGGCCCCCTGGCACAAAATAGTGGAGGCCGTGAAAAAGGCGAACATAGGGGGGTACGAAACTAGACTTATTGAGAGCTACCTTTCGGATAGGGCCATAATAACACCCCAGGGGGACAAGGTAGGGGTGAACTGTGGGGTGCCGCAGGGCTCAATACTGGGCCCGACCCTTTGAAACGTCTTCTACGACCAGGTCCTGAGGATCCCCAGGGAAGAGGGAATAGACCTGGTCGCATATGCAGATGATCTGGCGATAGTGGCGAGGGCAAGGACCGAGCAAAGGCTAGTGGAGAAGGCGGAGCACGCGGTGTGGACAGTGGTGGAAACGCTGAGGGAAATGGGTGTTAAGGTGGCCGCCAAGAAAACAGAAGTGTTGATCTTGGTGAGTATAAGAACTCTCACGAAGCTTGAGTTAAGGGTTCAGGGTCAGGTGGTGGAAAGTCAGGAAACAGTGAGATACCTTGGAGTGCACATGGGAAGAAACATGAGGATGGCCAACCATGTAAAAAAAGCGTCCGAGAAGGCCGCTGAGATGACGAAGGTGCTGAGTAGAGTCATGCCCAGCACTTTTGGACCAAGGAGCGGCAAGAGGAGGGTCATGGCATCCTCAGTCATCTCGGCCACACTGTATGGCGCTAGCCAATGGGTGGAGGCGCTCAAACACCACAAGAACGTGGAGATGTTGGACAGGGTAAGCCGGAGACTAGCCATTGGCATAACGGCAGCTTATAGAACGGTGTCCACAGCGGCGGTGCAGGTTGTGGCAGGACTCCCACCAATGGACCTAATGGTGAGGGAAAGGGCCCATGTCAAGGATAACGGACCAGACTCGAGGGAGTGGGCAAGAGAGGCCACCCTAAGGGCGTGGCAGGAGAGATGGGACGGATATGAGGGGTGGGCCAAGACCTTCATTAAAAACATTGGTGACTGGCACAGCAGCAAGGGTAGGGATGTGGACCACTACGTGACACAGGCGATCATGGGGCACGGTTCCTTCTCTACCTACCTCTTCAAGATAAGGAAGAAGAACAACACCAAGTATAGGTACTGTGACGAGGAAGATGACCCTAATCATACCTTCTTCAACTGTTAGAGATTTCTGACGTTCAGAGAAAGGGCGGCAGGACGATGTGGTGTAGAAAGCATCACAAGAGAGATGGTGGGGGAGGTAATGATGGGGTCCGAGGATAACTGGGCTGCGGTGACAGATTGGCTTAGGGATGTCATGAAAACCAAGTGTGAGGAGGAAAAAGGAATGAGCTGTGATAATATGTGATATAAGTGTTTCTCTAGTCGTACATGTGAGTATTTAGTCTAAGGTTACTGTGATATTTTAAAATGTGAGGACCAAGCTAGTAAGTGTATGTGTCAGTCGAGGACAGGCTGCGAGAGCTGGAGAAAGATAGCATGTCCTGCCAGAAGTAATGCCGAGAGGCGGTTCCTGGCAGGGGGCAACACGAAGAGAGGAAAGGGTTTTAGTGGGTGGGGAAAAGTCCGAGCCCCACACAGGCCCAACGACAGATCAACAGCTGGGTACGTGCATTAACGCATTTCCCAAACCTCTATAAAAAAAAAGGTTAGGTTAGGTTAGGTTGGGTTAGGATGAATTAGGTTTAGTTTTAAATGGTTGAAGCTTTGATCAGCAATCCATAAAATGGGTATGTTGCTCTTCAATCATTGTTTGCAAATGTTTGAATCTATCTCTTTACTTTACTAGATATCTATCTCTTTACTTTACTAGATAAAAATGTAATTGTGGCATCTAATCTTTGTTGTAAGCAGTTGCAAATAAAATTATTATTATTATTATTATTATTATTATTATTATTCTTATTATTATTAAAAAAATTATCATCGGTTTTCTGTTAATTTTACTATTTTAAAAATAATAAAAGTTTTTCATGTTTTTAGATAACAAAAAAAAGGATAATATCAATGTTATAAATAAGTACAATGTGTTTTATGTTATTACCATGTTACATGCAGGTAATTCAAAAAAAAAAATAAAAAAAAGTAAAACATCAATGTTATAAATACAGGGTATTTTTATTAAAAAATGACAACCGAAATTAGGCTACCTAATAAATGTTTTTTAATTGAGCTTTTGTTTTGGAATTATCAAACTTTTACTAGTACTTACATAATAATTAGCTGTGCACTGCGGTTTCACCCGCATGATGCCCCATACCGTGGAAATTTCGGTCTCCAGCTCTCTACATACCAAGTTTTATCACAATCGGTTTAGTAGTTTTTGCACGAAGAAGTAACACACACTTTCGCAGTTATAATATTATTAGGGTAAGTACATAATATCAATGTTACAAATAAGTACAATGTGTTTTATGTTATTACCATGGTACCTGCAGGTAATTCAAAAAAAAAAGAAAAAAAAGTAAAACATCAATGTTATAAATACAGGGTATTTTTTATTAAAAAATGACAACCGAAATTAGGCTACCTAATAAATGTTTTTTAATTGAGCTTTTGTTTTTGAATTATCAAACTTTGTTTTTAAGTAAACCTTTTTATGTAAGTTATTTATGGGCAGATTAAAAAAAACTAGTTTTTAGTAAATTTTGACATTTTTTTCTTTAGTATCTTTATATGTTATGCAATAGTTATTTATATACCGCCAAATATTAGTACTAATGATTTTGAGCAATTTTTTGAATTACTTTGTCTTTGTGATTGGTTGTATAACAAAAATGTTTTAATTTTTGGAGATTTTAATGTTAATAGTTATAATAGTGAAAATGATAGTGATTCTAAAAAGCTTTGTCTTATAAATTTTAAAAACTTTTTGGAGCTTAATCAAGTCAATATAATACTAAATAATCATAATGCGATGTTGGATCTAATTTTTACGAATATTAAATGTGAAGTCAAACGTTCTGATTATCCCTTTGTTAAGATTGATCTGTTCCACCCGCCTCTTGAAATAGACATTGAAGCCAAGGTTTCAAAATATAAAAATTTTGACATTTCTGATAATAGAAGGTACAATTTTCAAAAAGCTAATTATATTAACCTATATAATAAACTAAGTATAATTGATTGGTCTTTTTTAAATAACAGTGCGGACATTGATACCGCTTGCGATTTGTTTTACTCTGTTCTTTCATCCGTGATTGATAAGCACGTTCCTCTTTATAAAAATAAAAAAATATGTTATCCAATTTGGTATAGTAAAGAACTAATCAGGATGCTTCAAAATAAACAAAAGGCACATGAGACTTTTAAAATTTTTAATAGTGAATATTCTTACCAACTCTTTAAAGATCAATGTAAAAAAAAAATAAAATCAGATTATGATGAATACATTATCAACATTCAAAATAAACTTACTTTGGATCCTAAATCTTTCTCGTCGTTTGTAAATAATAAAAGATCTATTAGTAGAATTCCGGGAGTAATGCAACTGGATGGTGTTGAAAGCTCTGAACCACAGCCTATTGTAGAAATGTTTGCCGAATATTTTGCCAGTGTTTATACAACATCTGATCCAAAACATAATGTGAAAAATGATCCTTATTTCTCTCAATCATTAGTCACCATAAAGGCTATTACGGAACAAGATATTCAGGCATCCATTGCAAAACTTAAAAATTCTCCTACGGCAGGATTTGATGGTGTGCCTAGCTTTCTCATAAAAGATTGTAAAAGTATTTTTACATATCCGTTAATAATTCTTTTTAATTTGATCTTAAAAACTTCAAGGTTTCCCACTGTTTGGAAAAATTCAAGAGTATGTCCTATCCATAAAAATGTCTAATATCGAAAATTATAGGCCAATTTCAATTATTTCAAATTTTGCAAAAGTATGAATCTATTTTATATAAGTATATTTTTTCAGACATTAAGTGTATTTTGTCACCCCACCAACATGGATTTTTTGAAAGAAGAAGCACGCTATCAAATTTAACAGTATTTACGCAGTATGTTGCCGAAGGCATTGATAATAGGGATCAAATTGATGTTATTTACACCGACTTCAAAAAAGCTTTCGATCAAATCGATCATTTTGTTTTAATGAGCAAACTTGAACAAATTGGCTTTAGCAATAATTTAATTAAACTATTTGAATCATATCTTATAAATAGGAAACAAATGGTTTTTTATAATGGCTTTTATTCCAATTGTATCACTCCTACCAGGGTTCCAATCTGGGGCCCCTTCTATTTTTAATTTTTAATAATGATCTACCAGATAACATTGTTTGTGAAAAATTACTATTCGCCGATGATCTGAAAATATTTAAAATTATTAAGGATATTGAAAGTTGTCTCTGCCTGCAAAAAGATATTAAAAACATAGAAAGGTGGTGTGAGTTAAATCGTTTAAATTTAAATATTAATAAATGCAAAGTAATAAGCTATACAAACAAACAAACTCCAGTTTTGTTTGAATATAAGATTAACCATATTACTCTGGATCGAGTTTTTAGCATGAGGGATTTGGGAGTTACGTAAAAATTTGTCATTTTCTATCCATATTAACAATATTTGTAATGAATCTTTACGCATGTTAGGGTTTGTAATTAGAAATTCTGCAGGTATTAAAAGTGAAAAATGTCTTAAGACTTTATATTATTCTTTAGTTCGAACAAAACTGGAGTATTGTTCTTTAATATGGTCACCAGTTTACAATGTTTATATTAGGCGGGTCGAATCGATCAATCGTAAATTTTTGAAATATTTGAATTTAAAAGTTAATGGTTTTTACCCTCCTCAAGGATTTAATCATTCTTCTTTACTTGATCGTTTTGGTTTTACATCCCTGGAAACAAGAAGAATAAATTCGTCATTGACATTTCTATTTAAGTTATTAAATAATAAAATTGACTGTGATATAATCTTAAATAAAATCAATTTTAACGTCCCCAGAATTGAATCGCGCTCAATGCGCACTTTTAAATGTCAAATCTGCAGAACCAACGTACTACCTAAAGCTACAGTAAATGTTTTGTGTAAAAACTTTAACCATTCACTCATCACTTAACTATATCTTATTTAATTCAAATGTGTTACAATGATTGTTTGTTTATTTTATGTATATTGGGGTTCTTTGGTAATACCTTGTTTATTGTTGTTAAATATTGTATATAACTGTTTTTTTTAAGTATTGTATTTATATATTATTAATTGTTAGTTGTTATGATACTTTTAAATTTTGCTTTAAAATAATTTATACAATTGTTTTTTATTCCTATACTAGTATATTTGTCCTGTAACTGGTTTTAAACTGTTGGGCAATAAAGTATTTATTTATTTATTTATTACATTTTTTACACAAAATAACAAAACCACAATACAAATAATAAATTTGGATGTCTTACAATAATAATTGAATTAAATTAAATTGATTTACAAAATAAACGTAAAAAATATACTATCGGTTGTTTTTTTTTGCAAAAAGGAGTCTTTTAAAAATATCCAACTACAAAATAATGATTGTTTCATAAAGTTTAATTACAAAATTATAATTTCATAAATCGAAGTTTTAAATAAAAGTTATGTTAATACAGCACCGAATATGTTTTTTTTGCGGCCCGGTCTTACTAAATTAAAATAAAAGGAGTAATTATTATTATCATTATATTATGATTATAATCAGCGTAGGAAATCCACTTTTTTCTCAATAACAATATACGGATATTATCTGTAAAAATTTGGAAATTTTCAGAAAAATTGACATTTTTTCGTGTTACCCAAGGTTTGAATAAAATTTAATAAATAAAAAAGGCAATTTTTCTAAAAATTTCCGAATATTTTCGTTTTTTACTGAAAAAAAAAAAACGGTTTTTATTCGCGGGCACAATTTTTCTGGAAATTTTAAAACCCTAATCATGACAAAATATTTTAAGTAAATTATATTAATTTATATATTTTAATGCGTTAAAGCATGTTTATTAGTTTTTTTTAATTATTATTTTTTATAAAAAAAATATAAAGAGAATGTTTGGGGGGTAGTATGATGGCACTAGAGAAAAATATAAATATTATCTTGCAATACGTAATTTTTTGACATTTAGAAACTACATATTTAGTTTGTTAGATTTGATATTAAAATGGGGAATGAAGTTAGGATAAAATTCAAGGGTAATTAATGTGGAAGTGCTTGTTCTGCACCTATTGTATAATTACATTATTTTATTTTAACTTATCAATTTTAATTTTTTCATTATATTGCAATTAAATTACCAGTTTTAATTTTCCATTCAAAATTTTCAGGTTTAGTTTTTAATTTAAAAATTGAGGTTAAAAGATTTAGTTTTATTTTTAGATTTTTTCAAGTAAAAGACTTTCACTGAACTTTAAATTGATAGACTAAAAACTTAACTTTGGCAAACCTTCGACAAAATAAGCGATTAAGGGTAATAAATAAATTGTATTCAATACACGAAAGAAATTTGTAACTTCGTGGCCCTACTGAAGATGCAGAAAATAATAAATTCTTTAAATGTTAATTATTTAACGGCGAAATTTTACTTCTTCCTTTAGTGGGCGAAATAGCATTTCACCCACAGGCTGACTTTAAGTTTGGGAGTTACGTAAAAATTTGTCATTTTCTATCCATATTAACAATATTTGTAATGAATCTTTACGCATGTTAGGGTTTGTAATTAGAAATTCTGCAGGTATTAAAAGTGAAAAATGTCTTAAGACTTTATATTATTCTTTAGTTCGAACAAAACTGGAGTATTGTTCTTTAATATGGTCACCAGTTTACAATGTTTATATTAGGCGGGTCGAATCGATCAATCGTAAATTTTTGAAATATTTGAATTTAAAAGTTAATGGTTTTTACCCTCCTCAAGGATTTAATCATTCTTCTTTACTTGATCGTTTTGGTTTTACATCCCTGGAAACAAGAAGAATAAATTCGTCATTGACATTTCTATTTAAGTTATTAAATAATAAAATTGACTGTGATATAATCTTAAATAAAATCAATTTTAACGTACCCAGAATTGAATCGCGCTCAATGCGCACTTTTAAATGTCAAATCTGCAGAACCAACGTACTACCTAAAGCTCCAGTAAATGTTATGTGTAAAAACTTTAACCATTCACTCATCACTTAACTATATCTTATTTAATTCAAATGTGTTACAATGATTGTTTGTTTATTTTATGTATATTGGGGTTCTTTGGTAATACCTTGTTTATTGTTGTTAAATATTGTATATAACTGTTTTTTTTAAGTATTGTATTTATATATTATTAATTGTTAGTTGTTATGATACTTTTAAATTTTGCTTTAAAATAATTTATACAATTGTTTTTTATTCCTATACTAGTATATTTGTCCTGTAACTGGTTTTAAACTGTTGGGCAATAAAGTATTTATTTATTTATTTATTACATTTTTTACACAAAATAACAAAACCACAATACAAATAATAAATTTGGATGTCTTACAATAATAATTGAATTAAATTAAATTGATTTACAAAATAAACGTAAAAAATATACTATCGGTTGTTTTTTTTGCAAAAAGGAGTCTTTTAAAAATATCCAACTACAAAATAATGATTGTTTCATAAAGTTTAATTACAAAATTATAATTTCATAAATCGAAGTTTTAAATAAAAGTTATGTTAATACAGCACCGAATATGTTTTTTTTTGCGGCCCGGTCTTACTAAATTAAAATAAAAGGAGTAATTATTATTATCATTATATTATGATTATAATCAGCGTAGGAAATTCACTTTTTTCTCAATAAAAATATACGGATATTATCTGTAAAAATTTGGAAATTTTCAGAAAAATTGACATTTTTTCGTGTTACCCAAGGTTTGAATAAAATTTAATAAATAAAAAAGGCAATTTTTCTAAAAATTTCCGAATATTTTCGTTTTTTACTGAAAAAAAAACGGTTTTTATTCGCGGGCACAATTTTTCTGGAAATTTTAAAACCCTAATCATGACAAAATATTTTAAGTAAATTATATTAATTTATATATTTTAATGCGTTAAAGCATGTTTATTAGTTTTTTTTAATTATTATTTTTTATAAAAAAAATATAAAGAGAATGTTTGGGGGGTAGTATGATGGCACTAGAGAAAAATATAAATATTATCTTGCAATATGTAATTTTTTGACATTTAGAAACTACATATTTAGTTTGTTAGATTTGATATTAAAATGGGGAATGAAGTTAGGATAAAATTCAAGGGTAATTAATGTGGAAGTGCTTGTTCTGCACCTATTGTATAATTACATTATTTTATTTTAACTTATCAATTTTAATTTTTTCATTATATTGCAATTAAATTACCAGTTTTAATTTTCCATTCAAAATTTTCAGGTTTAGTTTTTAATTTAAAAATTGAGGTTAAAAGATTTAGTTTTATTTTTAGATTTTTTCAAGTAAAAGACTTTCACTGAACTTTAAATTGATAGACTAAAAACTTAACTTTGGCAAACCTTCGACAAAATAAGCGATTAAGGGTAATAAATAAATTGTATTCAATACACGAAAGAAATTTGTAACTTCGTGGCCCTACTGAAGATGCAGAAAATAATAAATTCTTTAAATGTTAATTATTTAACGGCGAAATTTTACTTCTTCCTTTAGTGGGCGAAATAGCATTTCACCCACAGGCTGACTTTAAGTTTGGGAGTTACGTAAAAATTTGTCATTTTCTATCCATATTAACAATATTTGTAATGAATCTTTACGCATGTTAGGGTTTGTAATTAGAAATTCTGCAGGTATTAAAAGTGAAAAATGTCTTAAGACTTTATATTATTCTTTAGTTCGAACAAAACTGGAGTATTGTTCTTTAATATGGTCACCAGTTTACAATGTTTATATTAGGCGGGTCGAATCGATCAATCGTAAATTTTTGAAATATTTGAATTTAAAAGTTAATGGTTTTTACCCTCCTCAAGGATTTAATCATTCTTCTTTACTTGATCGTTTTGGTTTTACATCCCTGGAAACAAGAAGAATAAATTCGTCATTGACATTTCTATTTAAGTTATTAAATAATAAAATTGACTGTGATATAATCTTAAATAAAATCAATTTTAACGTACCCAGAATTGAATCGCGCTCAATGCGCACTTTTAAATGTCAAATCTGCAGAACCAACGTACTACCTAAAGCTCCAGTAAATGTTATGTGTAAAAACTTTAACCATTCACTCATCACTTAACTATATCTTATTTAATTCAAATGTGTTACAATGATTGTTTGTTTATTTTATGTATATTGGGGTTCTTTGGTAATACCTTGTTTATTGTTGTTAAATATTGTATATAACTGTTTTTTTTAAGTATTGTATTTATATATTATTAATTGTTAGTTGTTATGATACTTTTAAATTTTGCTTTAAAATAATTTATACAATTGTTTTTTATTCCTATACTAGTATATTTGTCCTGTAACTGGTTTTAAACTGTTGGGCAATAAAGTATTTATTTATTTATTTATTACATTTTTTACACAAAATAACAAAACCACAATACAAATAATAAATTTGGATGTCTTACAATAATAATTGAATTAAATTAAATTGATTTACAAAATAAACGTAAAAAATATACTATCGGTTGTTTTTTTTGCAAAAAGGAGTCTTTTAAAAATATCCAACTACAAAATAATGATTGTTTCATAAAGTTTAATTACAAAATTATAATTTCATAAATCGAAGTTTTAAATAAAAGTTATGTTAATACAGCACCGAATATGTTTTTTTTTGCGGCCCGGTCTTACTAAATTAAAATAAAAGGAGTAATTATTATTATCATTATATTATGATTATAATCAGCGTAGGAAATTCACTTTTTTCTCAATAAAAATATACGGATATTATCTGTAAAAATTTGGAAATTTTCAGAAAAATTGACATTTTTTCGTGTTACCCAAGGTTTGAATAAAATTTAATAAATAAAAAAGGCAATTTTTCTAAAAATTTCCGAATATTTTCGTTTTTTACTGAAAAAAAAACGGTTTTTATTCGCGGGCACAATTTTTCTGGAAATTTTAAAACCCTAATCATGACAAAATATTTTAAGTAAATTATATTAATTTATATATTTTAATGCGTTAAAGCATGTTTATTAGTTTTTTTTAATTATTATTTTTTATAAAAAAAATATAAAGAGAATGTTTGGGGGGTAGTATGATGGCACTAGAGAAAAATATAAATATTATCTTGCAATATGTAATTTTTTGACATTTAGAAACTACATATTTAGTTTGTTAGATTTGATATTAAAATGGGGAATGAAGTTAGGATAAAATTCAAGGGTAATTAATGTGGAAGTGCTTGTTCTGCACCTATTGTATAATTACATTATTTTATTTTAACTTATCAATTTTAATTTTTTCATTATATTGCAATTAAATTACCAGTTTTAATTTTCCATTCAAAATTTTCAGGTTTAGTTTTTAATTTAAAAATTGAGGTTAAAAGATTTAGTTTTATTTTTAGATTTTTTCAAGTAAAAGACTTTCACTGAACTTTAAATTGATAGACTAAAAACTTAACTTTGGCAAACCTTCGACAAAATAAGCGATTAAGGGTAATAAATAAATTGTATTCAATACACGAAAGAAATTTGTAACTTCGTGGCCCTACTGAAGATGCAGAAAATAATAAATTCTTTAAATGTTAATTATTTAACGGCGAAATTTTACTTCTTCCTTTAGTGGGCGAAATAGCATTTCACCCACAGGCTGACTTTAAGTTAAATTTGGAAAAAAGTGAGGTTAAAACTAATTGACAGCTGTCAGATAAAATATCAAATAAAATTGGCTTGAAATTCCTTGCGGTGGTTGTAGAAATTTAGTACTTACATAAATAAAAAAAAATCTATCTAGCGTAGAAGGGCCACACTTCTTTTTTAAATATTCGTTACGACTTATAACTCGGAATTCTCGTTTATAATTTGGAATTCTCACTTATAACTCGGAATTCTGACATATTTCTATAATAGACATTGGTAAATAAATTAAAAAATAAATAAGACAAAAAAATCTATTATATCTATACGGAAGCGGTGGTTGTAAAAATTTAGTACATAAATTAAAAAATAAATAAGAACAAAAAATCTATCTAGCGTAGAAGGGCCACACTTATTTTTTAAATATACGTTACGACTTATAACCCGGAATTCCGACTTATAACTCGGAATTCTCGCTTTTAATTTGGAATTCTTACTTATAACTCGGAATTCTTACTTATAAGTCGGAACTCTGACATATTTCTATAAAAGATATGGTTACTAACCATTGGTTAGAGTAGTCGTCCAAAGGTAAACATTGCTCTCAAGGGTGTATTTTATGATTGCTAACACTTACGAACACACCCACGAACACATACGAACACACCCACAAACACTTACGAACACACACGAACACACCTACGAACACCCACAAACACTCACGAACACACCCAAGAACACACCCACGAACATTCACGAACACTCACGTTCGTGGGTGTTCGTAGGTGATTTCGTGAGTGTTAGTGGGTGTTCGTAAGTAATCGTACGTGGGTTTGTTCGTGAGTGTTAGCAATCGAATAGAATACACCCCTGATAGCAATGTTTACGTTTGGACGACTACTCTAACCAATGGTTAGTAAACATGTATATTATAGAAATATGTCAGAATTCCAAGTTATAAGTCGGAATTCCGAGTTATAAGTGAGAATTCCGAGTTATAAGTTGGAATTCCAAATTAAAAGACGTAACGCATATTTAAAAAAGAAGTGTGGCCCTTTTACGCTTCCGTAATTATAAAACAAAAACACAATTCTTAATAGTATATTAAAAAACTAATGTCATAATACGTCATTTTGTCGCACGCGGACAATTTATAAAACGAGCGACGAAAAAGCGAGGTTTGTAATGGACTAGTGCGACAAAAGGTTTTATGACATGAGTTCTTTATGCTATTTTATCTATTTTGAAAAAATTCTATAAAAAAAATTAACTTTATACCTTATAATTTGGTCGAATTTTACTTTGGATAGTTAGTATCACAGTCATTGGTTTGACAGTTAATGTTAAAGTTGATTCAATAAGCGGCTGTTAATGTTAAAGAAGAAAAAAGGATTTTCTTTGGTGATAAACAAAATTGATTGCCAGAAAAGTCTCGTAAGTACTAGAAAAATCATAAAAATATTATAACCCATATGCAAAATATTATGCTGTTTAAAGTATAGCCAACTTATAAAATCAAAATTTTGGGTGGGATAAAGTATTTCATTACAGCATCGAAAGCGGTGTTATAATGAAGTCATTATGAACGCAAAATAGATAAAATAAATTAACAAACTAAAATTAAAATAATATGAAATATTGTTTTATAATATCGTAGCAAAACAATAACGTATTCTTTTATTTAATTTTATTTTGGTCTGTTGACTGATCAATTGTACAAAAACAATTTAACCAGTCAATTTCACAACCCTAGTCTTATCTGTTGGTTGATTGTTGATTTTTATACGATTTAAATTAAATAATAAATAAAATTACCTTATTAAATTTTAAATAATTTATAGCAAAATATTACATCCTTGGGCGTTTGAAAATTCTTAGACGTTTTCTAAATAATAATTATTAAAATAATAATAATGTTAATGTGTATAGTTACTTTAACAAAGGTCAAAAAAATAGAAACTAAAACATTTAAGGATACAAAAATAATACAGAAATTTAATATAAATAAATAAATAAAATTAATTAAAACGATAAATAAATAATTCATGCAAATCAACAATAGTTAATTATTCTATAAGTAAAGAAAAGTAATAGATTTCTATTTAAGGAAATATCAAATTTCCACGAGATAAAAAAATTGGAGTGCACCCATTAACCACGCATATGGGAAAGGCGGCGATTTCTGAAGAGTGTGAGGTTTGCTGCACGAGCAAGGCGAGTGTAGAACACACTATTTAGAAATCGCTGCCTTTTGAGAGAGAAAAATTGTTAATATTTACGCATTTTTAATAAAAACTTTTTATAAATCCTTGAGCGGGCCAAGTTAACTCATAAACAAAAATATACCAAACTAAAGACAATAATTGGCTTAATTAATAATATTAATTATTAAAGAACTTATGTTAAGCGAAATTCGAATTTATGCTGCGCGTGTCATGAAAAAGCATTGATTAATATAATTCTTTTCTTTACGATTTTTAAAATGTGCTTAATAAAAGTGGTGCCAACCAGAAAACGTGTACTTTTCTTTACTATTTCTCTTAATAATGTAAGTATGCTCTTTTTTATTAAGCCTTCTAGCCTTGATAATGATAATTATTCATGTTAAAATGTATAGTAAGAAAAAAAATAGAAACTAAAACCTTAAAGGTTAAAAAATAATAGGAATATTTAAAATTTAATATAAAATTAATTAAAACATAGTATTTTTTTTAAGCCTCTCATTCCCAATACAGACATTATTTTATAATCATGCAAAATATCAATTAAAAATTACATAGAAGAAAAATCACATGTTAAAAATTCATTTATGTATTATTTACTCTTTTATTTCATTTGGAAGTCTATTATAAAAATTAGCTGCATTAAGTATAATTGGAATCATCTCTAGATCTATTAATCCTTTAACATATAAATTTAAAAATAATACGGAGATTTAATTCATTTATATCATGGAATATTAAAACAGTTTTAAAATTTTAAACGTAGGTACTTATAAGTACCGTATACGGCAAATAAAGAAACTCGATATCACAACATATTTCAGTCGTGGTGACAACTGCTCGCAAGAACATAAATACAGTAACTGTATATGTAATATATATTATATATATACATCCTTAGTACAATATTGCGTCATTACAATTTGGCAACACTGTAGGACGAAATAAAGTCTGTATAAGCCATATAATATTTAAAATGAAATATACACGTGACGCAATATTATATCAAGATTAAAATGGGTTGATAATGTAGTGACTTTTGAAAAAAAAGTGTATATCTTATTTTTTAAGATAAAAAAATCTGACCAGATTTTTGGAATCAGCAAAAAAAAGTACTCCAATATAATCTTATATATTTTTGCTAAATACCTTATTTATAGTATACGCAATAAGGTCGCGAAATGTAATGACGCAATATTGTATTACGGATGTATTTATATATATATATATATATATATATACAGGGTGTACCAAAAGTCAACGATATCCTTAGCCCAACTCATGACTAAGCAGAAAATCAAAATAATATTTTCATATTATGACCTATATACATTTATTGGGTGTTGTGTGCGTTCAAAGTCTAACTCATCGAGGACCGTGGATCGGATTCCAAGTTACTACTTTACTTTTATATATATATATATTTGGGTGCCTTTTTTTCACTACTATTTTTATTTTTTCGCTCCCAATTCAAAATCTTGTTGAAAATGTTCAAAAAAAATTCCCTGAAAATTTGAGCCCTTAATATTAACTCAAAGTACTCCACCAAAGCGTATAAAGATTTTCCATTTAAAATACACGTAAACTTTGATTATTTTTTTTAAATATCTATATCTCAGCCGCATTTTATGCTATTGGATTGTTTTAGGGATTTACTCGTACGTTTTTTCTACAGTCGGGTGATTAGAGAAAAATAAATAACTAAACCAATCAAGCATAATTATTAATAAAATAACATGTTGTATATAATACACCTCGTTATATCAATTTTTAGGTTAGATATATATTTTCTCTTTAAAGTTATGTTATTTAAATTGTCAATGTAAACGCTCTTTATCTCAACAAATATCAATCTTAGCAATTCTACTGATAAGACCTTTTTTAAAGAAAATTAAATTTCCTACAAGTTTGTTCTTTACATTTTTCAAAGAATCCTGTCACTTTTGAAATATCTTTAAAAATATGAGAATTTTTCACTAAAATAAGATTTAGTGATCCGTATCATCTTACAGGTGCAGATTACAGCTATGGCACATAAAGCATTTTTGTAGATTTTTTGATTACGAGTAAATTCCTTTTTTGAAACAATCCAATAGCATAAAATGTGGCTGAGATATAGATATTTAAAAAAAATAATAATAGGTTTACATGTATTTTAAATGGGAAATCTTTATACGCTTTGGTACTTTGTACTTTGAGTACTGCTTAAATGAAAATTCTTACAAAAAATAAAAATATAGAGTTTAATTTTTGTAAATACTTAGGTATAAATATATATATACATTTTTTACCCAAATTATTCGAGATTTTAAAAATGACGCTTACGTCATTTTCTCCGAAACGCAGAGTGATACTTTATTTTAAAAGCCCTTTAAATCTTTACATTTTGGCGTCTTCGTTTTTAAAATCAGTTAGTTTGTTCTCGAAATATTTAAGATAAAATTAAATTAGAAAAGAAAGATTTTCTCCAATATCTGGAAAACAAACAAACCGATTTTAAAAACTATTACGTCAAAACAAAAGAATTTAAAAGGCCTTTAAAATGAGTTATTACACATTTACACATTTCTATAAAATATTTTTAGGGGGTATGTATGTGCTTAAATGAAAATTCTTACAGGAAAATATAAAAATAAAAAGATAAAGTTCCATTTTTGTAAGTACTTAAGTATAATGTATTTATTGTATTTTTTACCCAAATTACTCGAGACTTTAAAAATGGAGCTTACGTCGTTTTGCCATAAACGCCATATAAAAATATACACATGCACTGTATAAATTTAATACCCCTAATATCTAAGAACTACTAAATAAAAATACTAAAATACTACCATTTGA